GTAACCATCTCTTACTACTGTGGTCATGGGTTAGATACCCAGATCTGTCATCACATGGTAATGTAACCATCTCTTACTACTGTGGTCATGGGTTAAATACCCAGACCTGTCATCATATGTTAATATACCATCTCTTACTACTGTGGTTATGGGTTAGATACCCAGACCTGTCATCATATGTTAATATACCATCTCTTACTACTGTAGTTATGGGTTAGATACCCAGACCTGTCATCACATGTTAATGCACCATCTCTTACTACTGTGGTCATGGGTTAGATACCCAGACTTGTCATCACATGCAAGTATAAAATAATTGCTTGGTATTTCATGTTTAAACCTTTTGTGTTCACTAGTGGGCGTTCTCACACTGTTATAGCATTAGCCTTCATGTGAGCTTAGATATAATAAGATATTGTATTTAAAGGAAATTGACAGTATGATGATATGAATTATGGCAATCAATGGCTGTTGGAAAAATCCTTGCGAAAATGTTGGGTGAAAATCTTCATCTTCCATTTTTCCCCATTTGCTTCAGAAGCAGAGAACCCATAATCTGAACTTGTATGATACCTATATTCCATCAATCTTCTCATTACTCTGGTTCAACAGGAAACCCATGGAAGCATTGAGAGCCGCTCAACGTTATTTAAATGAATAAAGTTGGTTTGTAGGATAAGGCGAGATTTTCATTGAAATTGCATCTGAGCATCAAGAAAGACACAAACGGCACTTGTGCTAATAAAAAAATAACATTCAACTCTCAATGCTTGTATGCCCTTCCTGTACTAACGTTGGAACTCAAAACTTATGTTGTTAACTTAACTTTACGTCTAGGGAATGATACAAGAAGAACTTCCTCAGGTATTTTTCACGGTTTCATGTTGTTTGTTTTGTCACGTGTTTCACATATGCAACTCAAATATGTTTTGTGAAATGTGATCGTCCGGTTGAGTGTAGTCTTGACAAAGACTGTTGTTGGTGGTGGCTAACCGTTCAACAACCTGAGCGGAAGTCATCTTCAGAATCCAATGAGAAAACAAGAGACAGTCGATGGTATTTATACCTCTGGTCCGGTCGTAGTGTAAACGGTAATTAGTTGGTACTGTTACGTAAAGATGCGTGGGTGTTATCATAAGTTGCAGTGAATCGGTTTTTGTTCTAAGTTTGTATACCAGCTTTGAAGTGTAAGGCGTTGATAGTAGTTGGTTCTATATGTAATGCATGTGGCAGAGTCCCAGTCATTGTCGTGTCCAGTGTTCTTGTGGTGTTTAGCGATGTGATTGTAATAGTTTTATCATTTTGATCATCAGTGGCTGAAGAAATACGCTGTACAACTTGGATCTTTGTGTGTCTTTGAGAAAAAGATACCGAATCATGTTCTGGTCAATGAATATGAACCTGGACAAGGCATCATGGTAAGTCATTCATTCAACAATTTTTTTCTCATTATTTTTAAAGTTCTAAAACACAAAGAAAGCGAATGAACAGATGGATGAATGAATAAGAGAATGAGAGAAAGGGGGAGTAAATGGATAACCTGCAATACTTGTCAGAACCTTCGTTTCTTTGGGAGATATCGAATGATAAACCCTGTCTCTGTGCTTGTTTGAATCCTCAATCCACAGCCGCATGAAGATGGTCCACTTTTCCATCCTGTTGTGTCCACCATCAATCTGGGCTCTCACACCGTGTTAGATTTCTATACTCATGTTAGAGAGAAAGACGACTCACAAGAAATCATCCAACAAGTAAATATCAAGTCGATTCTATGTTTTTTTTTGCAACCAGATTATTTGCCCTGTTATTTTTTAGCCCAGGTAGTTTTTCAAAAAAATGAAAATTTAATATTTATGAATATTAACCTGTTGCCCTGCATGCTGCTTCTCATTCTATCAATATTTATACTCTGAAATTTCCATGTTGTTATTTGCGCATACAGGATGGAAGTACTGAGACCAACAGCTCGATGAATGCTCGTCACGTCATGTCACTTCTTCTGGAGCCTAGAAGTCTTCTGATATTGACTGGAGACCTTTACAAGAATTACTTACACGGAATAGAGGAGAAGAAGTACGATAGTATTGACAACAGGATTAAAAACTTGGAGTTATGTCAAGCCAAACTTGGTCAAACAATTGAGAGATCCACGAGAATTTCATTGACTATTCGACACGTTCCAAAAACGCTCAAACTAAAGCTAAAGATCGGCAAATAGACTGACTAAAGGATCAGTTTAATGGAAAATGGCCTACATCAGTGTCGTTATAATGATTTTGCCATGCAGTTTGGAAAGGACTTTACAGCAGTGCAAGGTTCCTCCCATTTGTACGGTATGACGTCTTGCATGTGGTCAATACTCTAACCTTCCACTAGAACCCACTTATTCTATGGAGTATAGAATGTCAATTGCGGGTGAATTCCAGAGTACGATAGACCTTATCCACTGTTTTCCCATTCCAGTATCATTTCTTTGTTTGACAGTTGCACATGAGAAGACATGAATATAGATAGATACAATTCAAACAAAGAATCTTATTCTCAAGAGAATGACACGTAATCTGAAATGGGAAAATATTATTCCTAGGTGGACTAGCTCCGTTACATTAAGGACGCTCGAACTATGAACACTGTGTTTTTTTTTCCATGCTGTTTCCTGAACTCATGCACTGTTTCAAACCCTCTAAACTGAGGCACCGAGTATGTCCTCACTTCACTCAAGGGATGCTTTACAGCATCCATTTAAAAAAAGCGAAAAACATTTAGGAGTTTTGACGGTTGGAGGGTCCTCACTGTAAGTAGTTACACCTGTAAATGATGCAGATTAAATATTGAAATACAGTGAAATACAGTGAAATACAGTGAAATACAGTGAACATCGAAAATAAGTCGGATTAATTTGAAAGGTGGATAAGTTATGTGTATTAGTCTGCATATTAGAACAGCCTTTGCATAGAATAATATAAAATGAATGAATGAAAGTGTTCTGGTGTAATAGAGTAAACAAATCATTCAAGTAGAACAACTTTATTGCTTACTTGACGTTTTTCTCGACATATCTTTTCTGTTATTTCCTTTTCGTATGATTTTTCAATCACAATTTGTTGCTATTAATGGAGGAAGATCTAGATATGTATTTATCTTTGATTTCTTTCTTTAAAAAGTCAAGTATATCATCGATCTAGCCCCAACCGTAGTTTAACGATTTTCTTACCCCCAATAGTAAAAGTACCACCAAAAATAAAAGTAATAATAGTAMTCAAAAATAATATCTGAAAAATAAGATAATTCACCATTTTGCTCTCAAAACTATTTTTTGATAAGTTCAATTCTGTTCATTCCGTTTTTCTTTTCAGTCTTATTTTCTAATATTGCCGAATAAATATCTCTTTTCTCCTTTAAAGATAATTCCATCTCAATCAATGCGTTTGTATGGATTTAACACACCATAACTGACACCAGACGAATTGGTGATATTTGCTGAATGTTTTCTAAATCACCAAAGTGATTCTGAGAATTGGAATCAGTAGTATCGTTGTGCCGGTATTAACGCGCTTCACTATTTCAGTTTTATTCGTGTATCATGTGCCATTGTTCTATAGGACAATGGGGATTTGCAATGACTTGAGACCAGTGTCCAAACTCTGGTCCATCTGAAGATGCACTTAGAACTACCTGTCCAATTCTCTCATGACACCCACTAGAGTCCTGTATCATAATAGTGAACGTCATTGTCATCATATCAAGAATAGCATCCGCCGCAAGATCAAACGTAAAAGTCTGAGCAAACTTTGGATTCACTGTTTTCTTTTTGACACGCGTTTTCTTTTTTGCGACTCTAGAGCGGGAAGAGAATAGTTCTATTTTTACATAAGGATCTGAAAAAGAATCAAAACCGTCACAGCTGATTGGTGAATTTCACATAAATAAAGATGATGATAGTAGTTTAGTGCTGGTGGTTGAGGGGGTAAGGATGTAATGATAATTATAAACAGTTGTGAGTTTTTGATCAACCTTACCTCCGATATTTAAGCTACTGATTTTTGGTAAATTGCGAGCTTGCAGTACGGTTACAGACAAGCGACTCGATAGTGGCTGGTGACAAACTGAGATGTGGAGCTCACCTAGCACCTGTGTAATATGCAATCAAACAGGCAATCAATCAATCGAGCAATCAATCAACCAATCAATCAATCAACCAATCCATCCATCAATCGATCAATCAACCAATCAATCGATCGAGCAATCAACCAATCAATCAATCGATCGATCGAGCAATCAACCAATCAATCGATCGATCGAGCAATCAACCAATCAATCGATGGATCGTTTGATTGATTGATTGATTGATTGATTGATTGATTGATATTAGCTAATTTTTACGTAGTTTGAAAAAACTATCTATCCTTAGCATAGAAAATACTCACATTTTGAAAGTGATATGGTTTGATATCCCGCCATATTTGTGTTTCATCGCATGACAAATCGAGGTTGTACAGAGGAACCATCACTTCACCGATGACAACGTTTCTAGAAATAACTTCGTTGTGAATTGCAAGTATTTGTAAAGTAAGTTGCTGAACTTCCATCAACGTTAACCCGCTTATAATAAACAGCTCGTTAAACGTTGGATTCAGGTTGTTTTGAATGACATTAGTTCTGTGGTTGTGTCGTCTTGAGGGCAGAGCATATACTCGCACGTAAGGGGAAGAGGTATTGCGGCGAAGGTCTTTAGCTGGGAGATCACGAGCTTGAATTATCTAAAATAAAATAAGATCACTATCAGAGGATCAGTATTACATAGAGTCATATCTATTTATTTTGTAAATCTTTACATACTTTACTATTTTATCCGACGTCCCCAGCCGCGACTTGAAGCTTCATTATAAACTGATTATAAACTGGAAGGGGGGATGAATCCTTAATGCTTTATTACTTTAAGAGTATGGAAATAGCTGTTTTAATTTTTTAATCATATAGATAAAAAATTCATTGTAATTTTCGAAGATTTTTTTTTACAATTTTCTGAGCGCGTGCGGATGGCGTCAGGAACCGTACTCTGTTCACTAACAGCGACCTTAAGTTTTGTAAAATTAAATTTTTATTTGGGGTTCTGCTTATTGGAGAATTCATTCAAAACATTGTTAGTAAAGTCAACTCATCCACACGAAAGACAGGCTTTGAGAGCGCGAAACCCTAGAATGAAGTTATATATACTTCCGGTTGACGTAGCTGTGGCAGATCTTGGAAATCTTAAGTTCGCCAATAAAGCGCAGTTCTCAATCAATCAGAGCGCGTGTACTATAAGTTAGCTGTATAATGAATACATAGCACCCGCGCGTCTTCTATTTCGAGGCCTTTCCCACAGAAGGGAGGGGAGGGGGCAATGAGTACCATTTTACCGTCAATGCACACGCGTACACGTTTTATGTGTAGACTTTCCCGCCATTCCCACAGGAAGCCCGCATGAATAAATGAAATTTCAAATATATGTACAGGAAACAAAAGTTTTGCTCTTAAAATGTTTTTATATCAAACTAACCTTGACAAATAAATCGCAGGTGGTTTGCTTGTATTGCAACGAGAGGTTGATTTTTCCAAGATATGATTTTCCCGGCTGACTTCCCTTACCCTTGGAACCTCTTCGTGATCGAATCACTTGTGATGAAATGTTAACAGGTATTTTATTGTATGGTTCGGATTTACTGTTTTCATGTTGAATGGAATGTGAGCTACTTCGTGATCGACTAGCAAGTCCCCGATCTGTGCTACCACGCCTTTCATTTGCGGCTTGAGAAATACTTTCTAAACTCTTGGAAGACATGTCTCTGGACTTCCTTGAAGATCCTAATTGAGAATCCGAATGGCTTTGCGTTACATGTTCAACGTCGGCAGAGTATGAGGTGCTTTCTAATCGAGCGTTCAAGTCATCTTTTGACAGCGATTCGGCGCGTGTAATAGTAATGAGAGGTTTCACGGGTATTGGACGGACGAATTCAAAGGACTTGCTGTCACAAGCCGAAGTTCGAGGCGACTTTGGACTAATTCCTTTATTAGGTGTGTGTTCGTAAGTGCTCTCGGAGCTCTCTCCGCTAGAAGTGCTAGGCTGTAGCAAGGACGACCTACGAGCTGTTGGTACTTGAAGGCTACCTAACCCTCCTGGCCAGTCTCTATCAACCGTTCCATTGATGTCATCAGGTGCTGTCCTATATGGCTCAGAACCCTCACTAAAGAATGTTTTATCATCTACCGGTGAAGTTTGTGTGGATGTTGTCTCGCTACTATTTTTTGAGGAGTTTTGAACAAATCTCTTTACGAATCGAGGTACGTATGCTGGGATGAAAAGATCGTGAGAACGTGAACGTACGTCTCTCCTCCAAAGTCGTGGTTCTTCTAGATGTTCGCCTTTTTGTTTTCGTTTGCAGCAACAATAGGTTACGTATATAAACACAAGGAGAACAACTGGTATTCCTGTTGCCAAGCCAGCTACCAAAGCAACTGAAAATATCGATAACAAATCTTTTTATATACCCAAAAACCTGTTTTATAACATGAACTATAACTGGAACACTGTATAAATGCAGTAGTAATATATGCATTGCATTTGCACGTAACGTCACCGTGACAGTGTTGGATGTATTTATCAAAATATTTCACCAACATGGCTACAAGATCTTACACAAGTAAACTAAACAAGTATAAACACATCCGATGTTCGAATTCCTTTACATGTGTTGTAGGAGCACAGTGCTTACAGCACATCGTGGACGCAAATGCCTATATATGGCTTCAGAGATAAAATGACATCCTTAATGTTAACGACTTACCTGAATGTTTCATGCTGTACATGCTACAGGGAATATACCACTGTATGATGGTTGGCAATACGTCTGTTAAAGAAGCACGCCTGCAATACAAAACACATGATTGCTTGAGAGCCGATTCATTATAAACCAGCAACATATTTATTCATAACAGAGCATAAGGCACAGTTACATACTGTAAGTAACGCTATCATGAACATATATAATTTTGATAAACGTTTGTTTTGTCTTCAGTGATAAATTGAACTGCGTCTGCCATAAGGTAAATAATGTTGTTATGTGGCTGAACTTATTATGTGTGGACAGAGTTACTCTGGTGTGAATAAACCAAATGAGATAATGTAATCAACCGAGAAGATAGAAAGTTCGTTGATTGAAACACAAATGAATGTGCTAAAACGTAGTAGGCTGGCCGAGGATAATGAATTAAGCCAAAAAAAAATATTATGAATCACGTCGAATACAGCTGCATACAATTGTTTCAGCTTTTTTCAAATAGCAGCAACGACCAGTAATATCAACAGTGTGTAAGCTCGTTTTATCCTGATGGATTTCTGCCATTTCTACCTTATTACACCTATTGACACACTTGTCAGGTTATGGATTTCCCACTGGTGATTCTAGCTTTTGCGTGTCCTGCCTCAGATATATACATGTACAAATATACACGTACAAAGCCTGCACCTTCGTCCACAGTCATATTCTTGGTGCAGCAGTGTTTAGATGAAATGATTTAGATTTCATAAAATTGGTTTTAGTTTATAACAAACTTCAAAATGAAGCCGAGAAAACAATCGAAGTGGAGGCAGTTGTCAGGCTATATGAACAGCGCTGATATGCAACGTTCATTTGTTTAGAAGTGACAGCTGGGTTTATTCCAAGTTTCTACGTCTTGCTGTTCTCAAACCGAACTATTTAACTATTGAAGACAAATAGTGTATACAACAATCACTTTTTAATTCAGTATTAACGTCGGGTTCGATAATAAAATCGTTTTATTGTGTTTCTTTTATCCAATCATAAAATTCATTGTAAAAGATAAATAAATGTACGTTTTCTTTGTTCTAGTTTCTGTAGCGATGTGTTCCATCTAAGGTAAATCTTGTTTCCTAGTGACGGAGACTCAGTACAATTCATATTCTCACCGAACATTACATATATATCAAACGCTTTGATCGGATCGATCGATCGATCAATTGATGAGAAAATCTGTACATCTGATACAGCTGTCCTTATAAGAATACTGATCCCCGCTCTGTCTTTCTAAACCACAGCAAACAAATTCATTTTTTATAAGAAAGCTATTATTCAATTCAAATCTGGTGTCGATCTTTTGACTTTTAACTAACATCGATATCAGCACTGAACATGTGATCATGGCATTTCATTTCCCTATTGATGGGTGGTTTTATTATTGTCCATGTTCTTGTCTCTACAGTACGGTCTGGGCTTCTTACAATAGCATTACAAACATAATTGAATTTTTACATTCTTACGGATTGATTTTTAAATTCCCCATTTTTCTTGTGCTAATTCTAAGAACTGGACTTTTCCATCTAAAAACTCAAGTCACGAGAGCTTATTCCTAGCTAGGTATCGTCCATTAACAGATTTAATACCTGTCTGTGTAGAAGACAATATCATTTGATTCTGAAATTTCTTGGGGTGAGACGTATGTAAAATAAGGAGAAATTTGAAGAGGCGCGCGTGGAGACACAATCTTTGCGGTCTTGAGTGAGGGCTAGATTGACGAACGAGTTTAGACATCTAGATCAACAGCTAATTTGGAGAGAAAAATTCATTTTTCTTGACAGTAATGATTGAGTGAAAAAATAACCTCCCACACAAGGCAACAACTGAGAATAGGTAGAACAGCTGACAAGAATGTCCTCCGGCCCTATGAAACCAGTCAAGGCCTCAAAAAAACACGTTTTCCCCCTCTTCCTTAAGACCTAGCTAGAATATTTATTTGGTCTAAGAGGGACTGTATAAGAATATGAACGCATATTTTCGCAGCGTTAAGAACAATTTCGTCGAGATACAGTACATTGGATAAATAATATATAGCCAGGCTTTTGTGATCAAGAACTTCGCCACTGTTTGATACGGTAACATCGTTGTACACAGCACATGCGATGCTGGGAACTTCACTTCAATGAAGCTTGATTTTTCGATTCGTAGTATTGATATTTTCTCGACCACCCCAAACAATTATACGGTAGAACTGCTGATGTAGGAATTAACCATCCCAAATAAATAAAAAGACCATAGCTTTTACTCTCGGGTTTCTGTTTGCCAAGATATAATTTCTTTCTATTTATTTCTCTGATGCATATTCCGGCATAAGAGAAAAAAGCCACAACGAAAGGAGTATATACAAACTTTGTAGCGTTTTTCAATCCAATCTATTTTCAGCTAGTACGTGAGCCTGATTTACTAGTTTAAGTTGTTCCTAATGAAAGACTGCGAAAACAAAACTGACAAACTGAAAAACACGAAACACATCAAACGAATGGAAACAAATGCTTCTTTGTATTTTATGGTAAAATGATTGATTTCTAGCTTGCCGCCTACCGGCAGTTTCTTGATTAAGGATTCATAGCCTCTATTTACGTGAAACATTTCGCGGATCGCAAAGAAACATAGTCCTTAGTGTATTTGACAGATAGTATACGGTGTTTTAAGCCGAAAAACGCTAACACTAAAACATGTATTCACAATAATATACATCACGTACACATCAATAGCCGGCATGATGGCATTAAACCATCCACCACTGATTATTTAGATCATTCATTCATTTTCTTTATAAAACTAACATAGTTTGAGAAAATTAAGTCTAGAATCATACTGGCTATCGAAACAAGAACAAAGTATTTCTTATTTCAATAAAATATCTTACCTGTAGGGAAAAATACGCCCAAAAAATATTTACCAAAAACACCATTTTCCTCGATCGTCGACTTTTACCCGTTTTCCTTCGCCTTCAAAAAACATCGCGCTTCACAACATAATAAACTCTCGAAAGCATACACAATTCATTCTCCATTCATTATGGTTTTGCTTCTTTTGACAGATTTAGCGCTAGGTAGGTTCGTGTCAGTGATTTTCGGGACTTTAGGGAAGAGACTTGATACAAACAAGGTCTAGAAAATGGATGGTAAACGAAAAAGATAGGCAAGAGTATCGGGGAAAGGTAGAATCCTTTCAGATCGTTCAACAAACAGCCGCATCCGTTCTTGCCTTCCGGAATAAATCTACTTATCGAATGCATAATGATGACAACGGGCCAATGGAAATCGAGAATATAATAGCAAATCCAAAAATTATTCACATTTGAAAGCCGGGGTTTCAACAGCGTGAATCGACTGACAAAACAGATGAGAGTAAAATTATAAAGTAAGTCCTTTCAAAGCTAAATAAATATTGTGGTTCTCTTAGCGATGAACCATTGTACGATATACGGCGAGCAATGTTTCGTAGCTGTTCTTAGAACACACAAACGCACACACATACTAAAGAAAATAAAAATGAAAAACAAGAAAGGAATGAATGAATGAATGAACGAAAAAAAGTAAACGAATAAAGAGAATATAGGATGATGATTTCTAAGTGAGACACACACTGAGGGAGAGAATGACAGTTTTACAATAACTTTTTACAATTTTCTCGCGCGCTGATTGGCTATTTTTATCATCAATAAGAGGACAGACAGACAGTCAGGTAAGATGCCATCAACTGACGAGCGCGCGCTCTTTCCGTAGGTTCTGTTGATCACTAAAAACTCGAAGTTTTTTTTGTCGTCTTTGTTCTTTTTAGTTATCTTTTTCGTTATGTGTCTGTCCTCTTATTGACGATAGATTTAGTCATCACATTGTCAAGACTCTAGCTCGGTTTCGCCTGGTGGATGCACACTACTTTGACAATGTGATGACAAATTCTATTCATAGTATTTTTCACTGCAATCTAAATAATCACTCGGTACGCTTTATATTTTTGAGTGGTGGCAGTGGAAAAAAAAAAAAAAAAAAATTCATAACAAGCCGTTGAAATGTCGTAGTTCCGTCGCAGAATATCGAAAACCGTATTAAAAAGTTGGAGAGAATTGGTATAGTTTACAAAGCACTGCAACAAGATAGAAGTTTTAAATAGGAATAAAACCGAAAAACGTAACCCCTTTGTACAATGTGGACAGTTTGACTGCTAAAATAATATTAATTCTTGCTTTAGTGGTAAATTTGCGTCAGAGTTTCTCAGTTTGACTGCTGAAATAATGGTAATTTCTTACTTTAGTGGTAAATTTGCGTCAGAGTTTCTTATACGCCTACGTATTTTTAAAACCCATAAAAGGCTTTGTAGTTGACAGCTTTTCTTATTTAGAACACGTGGTCAATGTTTATTATAATTTATACTTAGACAAGAGTCCGCGAATTAGAGTCCAGCGGATATATCTGTATTACTCGGACAAGGAAACTGGGTTTCTTTATTTTCTTGACAAGACTCAATGGACAAGACCAGAAGAGGTTATCTGCAAGGTAGCTGGTGTTCATGAATGGATAGATAAATAAATAAGATTAATTCTGCAATGGGCAAAAGAACAAAGAAACGAAGCTGCCCAAATCCTCTGTTTTTGAAATTTCTCCAGGAATGGCGAGACGAAGCGCGAGAGAAGGGACGAACCAATCTTCAGCATGCATACCACAAGGTGAGATCCTACCCAAGAAATCACTGGAAACCGCGGGAAACTAGTCAGCTATAAAGCTGAATATTAATTTTTTTATACTTTTGTGTTGATAATTTTCAGGCATTTTCATCTATTCAGAAGTATCCTTTGCCTCTACGAAATGGACAAGAGGCAATGATTCTTGAGGGCATAGGTAGGTACATGCAACTTCTGATTAGTTTAAACCAAACGTTGTGTACTATAGTATTTAAAATGCCATAAAATTGTATTAGTGCTGCATGGGGTTACACCTATTTGTACATTTTACATTTGGGCTTGCAACTGTAGGGTCACTGGGCAGATCCAGTGGGGTGATAAGGGGAGTTACAGCTGCACTAGTCCTTTCCCCTTCTTTTGAGCAAATGGAATTTTTTTAAATATGTAACTGAAAAACTGAAAACACATATATAACTAAACTTTTACTCAGTTTGCTTGAAGCACTCAAATTTAATTTCTGTCAATTTGAGATGCCATTGCATAATTTTCCCTCCTATATTATGGCCTTCCTGTGATATATTGGCATGAGGTACCCTGTACAACAGTCAGCCCCTTTTAAAAATCCTTGATCTGCTTCTGAGAGGGTTTATAACTGTAAGGGTATTTGTGTTACCTTTAGCAGACGGAGAGGGTCAGAAGGAGGAAAGTTTACATAACTTATCTGAGTTGGGGAGGGCTTATGAACAGGATTTTATGGTAACCTTTTACCATCATAATTTTAGGACCAAATATAGCAAAAAAGCTTGATGAAGCTTTGGCATCATATCAAGAAAATAGTGGTTTAGAAGTCTATGAAGTACTTAGTGTACAAACAACAGGTAAGTTAAAATAATAAATAGTTGCAATACTTTGAAAAAATATAAAAATATGACATTCTGACATATCTTTTTAGATACCTTTTTTTAGTAATTGTTTTTGCTGAAATAAAATTATATGAAATTATAAATGTATATATAATGTATATATTATAACTATATAATTATATCTTTTTGAATTGTTTTGCTTCTTCTACGTAAAGATAGAAAAAATTATTGATAAAAATTATTAGTAAAAATCTCAAGCTTTTGGGTCAATGAACCATCTTCAGGGGAGTGACACATGTATAACTACAAGCTTGCAAGACAATAAATGCATAATTATGGGAGCATGCATGTGTATCAAATTTACAAAACAGCATGTACCTGTGTGTGTGTGCAAAAAAACCCATAGCGCATGATACTCTTGACAGTGGCTCACTCAATGGATTTGACTGAAACCATTTGACTAATAGGAGAAAGGATGACAGTATTGTTCACTGGACTCTAAACTTCTTGTAAAAGTTTTTACCACAAGCATGGGATATATAGTCACTCCACACTCACAACCATACATTTCATCAATTCTTAACTCAGATGTTGGATTGTGCAGAGGAAGGAAGACTGGTGTAAGGATAAGGAAGAAAACAACAAACAAACTCTATTCAAATGTAGTTCCCACAGGATTCAAACCATTGATCCCACCCATAGGACTTACTGAGTAATAAATGGCCAACATTTTACTGCTACTGTATGTCTTCCTTGCCATCCTTGCATATGATGTCTTACCATAGGCTGGGATATAAAATGTACTAATTCTGTCATCATTATATCTAGTAGCTGATCCCCCACAAGAAACTGAAAAACCAGTGAAAGACAATCAAACTAAAAAGGTATCTCTCATAATCCTAAAACATTTTGCAGTTTTATGAAATAAATATCATATCTATATTGAGATGCATGCATACCTGTATATGTGTTAAACTTTTAGATACAGTATTACAGTTTGAGAAAGACACAAACATTAAATGCAAAATCCATCCCTTGAGTTCAAGTCTTTGCCAGATCTGGAAAGTTTCAATAAAATTATAATGTATATAGTCATGTTTATCACACACAATGTTGGAACATTTTTACTAATAATTTTTTTCTCATACTATAAATTATGATAGCAGTAAATTGAATTTACTTTACAGTGCGACTACTCCAACCAAAGCCACCTTGACAAATTTTCCACAAATTATCCAATAGTGTTTGAGTATATAGACAATAGATAAGCGGCAAATAAATTTGAATTTAAATATTCTTCCGTTGTTCCGGTTGGTAAAGCTAAATGATGAAGAAGAGCTTGTAATATATTTTCTTTGCAAATTAGTGATTTGTGTCACCAAAGATATAGAAAAATAGTAATGTACGACTTCAAATACGACAGGAAAGCAAATTAGAGACCGTATGAAACACAGTGTTTATGATTACAGTTTGTTTCTTCCAGACAAAGATATTATCAGGCTGGCACTGTTAGATCTTATCACTATGCACCTTTATATTCAACAACAAAGGTGCCGGCAGTCTTCTAAGCCGTGTAAACCCATGGATATTTGTCTGATTTGTAGCAATTCTATTGTTCAGATTCCTACTTTTGATTGCCTAATTTGTGGAAAATTTGTCGAGGTAGCTTTGGTTGGAGTAGTTGCACTGTAATTTCTTTTTCTTTTTCAGAAAGTGCAAAAAAAGCCAACAGAATATGCTCCAGGTTATAGAACAGGAGCTTATGCCCTTCTGCTTACACTACATAAACATCATCAGGTTTGTATTGCAGTTTGGCTGCCTTTTACATGTAACACATCACTGTCAGTGCTACAAAGTATTACTGTAAAATGAAATATAAAGATAAAAGGAGATCCAATTTTAGATAAGTTCAGTTAATTATGTGATCCTCTGAAATATCATCGTATACAAACACAAGCCTTCAGGTCACAAACACAAACAAAAATACCGCATGACAGAAAATCCAGCTACACAGAACCCATTAAAGCAATTATGAATATATGTCAGTATTCAAGCTTCAGTTTTCATAATTCCTTGCTGTGTAACTAGTATATGGACTGCTAACATGTTTGTTGATGGTGGTTATACAGTTACTAATGTATAATGTAGTGTAATAGAGGCTTTCTATTCCCAGGGGGGTACTCCCTTTGTTCAGGTGGTAGGGGTGATCGGCGCTCCTTTTAGGGTTGAAAATGTTCCCTGTGTGGACCTTTTAGGGGTTCCAACTCAAAAGTAAATTACGTAACATAACCCTGTACCTTTTTGGGTCATTTATTATGCGTGTTATCCATGCTATGCTGCTATTTACTTTACAATGATGCACTAAATACTTCTTTAAAATGATCATCGTTATAATCTTATACTCTGTCCTGTCATTCGTTAAACTGGCGTTGATAGCTGGAGTTAATAGTAAATTACTGAAATAAAGCTGTACCTTTTAGGGTTAGAAATCAGGTTGGTTTTAAGAGCCTTTTTAATTTATGTGTACCTTTTAGGGGCCATTTTAAAAATTGACCGCCGATCACCCCTACCACCTGAACAAAGGGAGTACCCCCCTGGGTTTCTATTAATACATGATGTCAGACATGACAGGAGGCAGGAACAATAATAATTGTATCTGGTCTAATCTGATTTACCTTAAGGAATTCAGTTTCCCAGTAAGAATTAAAGACTCCTTGTTGTGCCTCCTGTCATGGCTGCCATAAGTTGACGGTGCAAACCTCTATACCGCTTTAAAGTTAGTGCATTTTTTGATATTTTTTCATTCAGAATGCAGATTACCCTGGATTCATGTCAAAGGATGAACTCCAAAAGAAAGCTCAGTTACTGAGTGACAAGTCTTTTACTTTAGTAAGTTGAAAATAAGGGATATAAGGCCGATATAAGGTAGTTGGGGAATGGATTTTTAAAGATACAGTATTTACAGTGTAGCTAGAAGTTAAAGGGAAGAAACTTAAATCTTGAATATCTTTTTTTTTTGATAGCCAGACCCTGGATGCCGTTATACCGCTTGGTCATCCATGTCCACACTTATCAAGAAGGGCTTAGTCATCAAGACTAGTAATCCTGCTAAATATTCTCTCACACCTGATGGTTCCAACATGGCAGAAAAAATCACTGTAGCGTCTGCTACTAATGGTCCTATTTCATCACATAGTCAAGTACCTTTTGTAATAGCGCCAGGCCATCCATGCCCCACAGAAAACAAAGAAACGCAGAGTGACTGTGATAGTGATGACCATGTTGATTGGATTGCGGGCAAAAACCCCACTGTTTTAAAGGTAAAATCCATACAGTAAGAAAAGGTAACAGTAATTTTCATTAAACTTAAATACATAGCACTTGTATTAAACATTATTGCAGGCCCACCCAACATTGGTTGGTGGTGTCAAAATACCTGAAAATAAGCAAATTCATAAGTTTTTTGACACATGATACTATAATTAATAAGATAAGTGCAAATGCAGTGAATGTTGTAAAAATTTGGGATACATTTGATGGGTGAAAATAAAGTACAACCCTACCAGTAATATCAAAAAACTGTAAAATACTAGTGGTGAAATGAATCCTGCATTTCACACTACCCCTGACCTTATTTTCTAAAATTGTATTTTCAGAAACCAGTGACAACAGTTGGTTGTGTAAATGTCAGTCCTGTCAGAGAAGAAGAAGTTCAAAGGTACATGTTCAAACATGTTTATTAGAATAAGAATGTACATTCATTGTCTTTAGGATATCCAGGATTTTTTTCTTTGATCCTTTTAGGGGTTTTACTATACATTTTTTTAAAGTACAGTATCTGTGAATGAAGGAGTGGATTGCATTAGTGAAATTAAAAATATGATTCCAAGATTCCAAGAGGGGTTTGGGGTGTAAGAAGAATCCATGGTTCAGATTCCTCTTAGTTACTGTTGCTATGTCCCACAAGCTTAAAAAATTATCTACGATATCTAAGAATTTAAAACTTTGATAGCCAAAAATTGATTATAAATTGTTTGCTGTCCTGCAAAAATAATAGGAAATTGCTTAGTAATCCATGTAGTACTCTTTAAAGCAGATACTGTGTAGTTGTTTGTGGGACAAGATTTTAATTACACTGGGAAAACTGCTGCAACATTGATTGGTTCACTATTGTCTGAGTTGGAGTGACAATAAGTGATGAAATTAATATTATTATTATTGGAACCAAGAATAACTCGCCTCTCGCTATGCATCATATTATAGACCAAATAGACCTTAAAGTGCCTATGACACCTAATTCAATATTTTCAGCATTGATTCTAAGTCAAGTGAAAAGTTGAATTGTAAATTATTTTTATATGATTCGAGTGATGCATGCATAGTAGGTGTCATAGGTACTTTAACATTAATGACATTCCATACCTAAACTACCACAATCCTTTTCAAAATATGTTTTCATATTCAAATATTAATACTCCTTTGAGATTCAAAGAAGAAAGTAAAAATTAGCATGACGAAAAAAGCTACTGAGAGGGATTCTGGAAGTGTAGGTATAAACGTCATCATGCTTGAGCTCTATTCGTCTTGTTGCAATGTCACGTGCCATACCCTAGAGAATAAGATTCCTTGTTTGAGTTGTATCTATACTCATGTGTCTTCTGATGCTCAACTATTAAACAAAGAGATTATACTCTAGGGAATGACACGTGGTCTAAAATGGGAAAACTGCACCAAGATTAATTAGCGTGTATTAATTGGCGTGTTATTTAATTTCTTTTCCTTTTTTCTCAGTTATGAAAAAAGAAATGAGATGGAATTTACACCTGAGTTTATACTGAGGCCAGGTAGACATGACTCTATTAATATGTGTACACTTGCATTTAATCTTATGGCTGAGTGTCAAATGCATCATAATGGTGGATGTAGGCTGGTTTCTTGAGTAGAGGAGGGATGAGAGGGACAGATAGAAAGCCAGTATATAACTACCTCATTGAATATTTCATTACTTTTTCTTGTTATTTTCAAATCATGTCATGAGGTGGCTAACTAGCTATCAGTCAACTATTGAATGAGTATATGGGGCATCATTAATCGCAAAAATTGAAGAATGGACCTTTTCACATTTCAAAATCTGAAAATAGATAAAGTTCCAAAAATCCTGCCCGATCTCTTTCTGATGGGATCACATCCATGCATATTAATGTTTTCCCCCCAAGCCGTTATCTTTTAAGAAAGAAAAAATGCTAAGGGGAATTATGGTTAGAAAGCCCTCTAAGGGCGTATACAAACCTTGAACTACACATCAGCCCTACCAAGAGAATAAGTTCATATTCTTTTGGCCAAATATAATGTCTTGAAAGAAGACCACCTTATTATCAGTTGTTTCCAAAAGTTCGAAGTTTGACGGTCCTGAGCCTTACTTAGTCTTCTTGGTTTGGCTTGCCCTGACTGAAAAAGTCCTCATTTACCGTCCAAAAAGTTTTTACTAGTAGAAATTTGATCTAATTATGATAGGCACCTTCGATATTGTTTTGTGTGTGGACTTCATCGAAACCACTGGTGGATCCAGTAAGTCCAGGAAAGACGCTCTTGTGAAAGAATTACAATCTAATGGTAAGTAACTTCGTCATCGTGAAATACTAATTGCGTGTGTGGAAGGTAAACTGTCGTTGAAATAAAATAATAATGGTACTAATGTGCAAATTAGGGTATTTATTTATTTCAATAAGTTATCAAGGAAAAAGGTCAACTAAGGCACGAAGAAGCAACCGATAAGAACTAGGGTACGCATAATACACGGGTGTGGATTTGTGATCTTTTGCTTCCGTGTTAGCATTTTCAGGATGTTTGTGGAGGTGCTATAGTAGTTAGGTAGGATGTAATAACCATAGACCTTTCCCAACACACAGTTGAACCTAATTTCCTTACCAGTAGCTTTTCTATTGGACTATTGAACCATTAGAGGCTCAAAGGTGCTTTTAATCTTTCGCGCGCTGATCAAAATACCATTAAAGTATCTAAAACGCTCACTTCATTTTTTCGCGCGCCCTCAGAATTTGAATTTTTATTTGAAAAATAAAACAGTAATTTTCGTTGGTTTGATATTTGAAAAGGATATATAAAGCGTCCTTTTTAGATACGCTCTGATCTAATCACCTGGGATGGCGAAAGAACACTCGAGAAGCTGTGTCTTGGGAAAGGCCTACAGGCTTACCTCTCTCTGATGCAGACACATTTTTGACACTTGCTCACATGAACCTTTATTGAACTAAGGGTATACTTGTTCAAGGGCGGATCCAGGGTTTTTTGAAGGGGGGGTCTCAGGGGTAAATTTTGTGGGCAAAGGAATCCCAGTCGCATTTTTACCACAGGAAGCCCATTTGACCTCAGGAATGACAGGGGGGTCGCGACCCCCCCAACCCTCCCCCTGGATCCGCCCTTGCTTGTTAAACAGTAACTGGATCCTTATTGTATAATTAATTGTTATCGTTCATTTTATTTCAGGAGTAGATTTTGATATCCGTAAGTTACAAGTTGGAGATTTCTTGTGGATCGCTCGTGAGAAAACACGCCATTCAGTACCAGGTAAAATGACATACATAAATTTGCACTTTCGTTTACGCACTTTTAACACTTTATCTATTTCAGTAATTGAGTCGTTACTTCGAAACGTTGTACTAAACTAATGTTATTCTTGATCTTGAATGGATCAACACACCTTATTACATGACATGTTTATCAGTTCGCGATTTCGGAGGTCGGCCGCATAATTTGCGACACTTTTAAATTTCACAATTCCATTCGATATTTATCGAATTTATTAGTACTTTCCAAATACACACAAATTCCTTAAAAGTAAGCATCACGCTACATTAAACAACTTCCGCCTTTTACTTGGCCGTTACTTGGCTTTGATTTGACTTGAGAATAGAATACTGCATGGTAAGCATGCATGGTACAGATGATTCAGGGTTGGTCTGATTCAATAGCTCTAGTGCTTTGTTTTTAGTAAAAGGCGTCTTTTATACCTGCTTCGTTATTTTCTCAATAATTCAAGGTCACTTTATTTGCACATTTTCACGATGTTTTTTGAAATCTAGAATATCGCGAAATTACTGTGCGACAAGAGAATATGAAGTAAGACTTAATATTCTCTTGTGTGCGACTACAACAACCAAGGCCACCTAGACAAATTTCATACAAATTAGCCAATCACGATCGAGTATTTAAACAATAGGATCTGTAGAAATTTTCACATTTTCCTCTTTAAAGTCATATATTTTAATTTATGCGAGTGTGTGTATGATACGGGAGTGAACAAAAAACAGTTTAAATTCCAAAATTCACTAATCCATCGGTTATGCAGCGGAAAAAATGTAATTTGTGAGTTTGGTTTTAAATTTGTTTGGGTGGCCTTGGTTGATGTAGTCGCTCTCTAAAGTGTGGCGAAAATTTCATGTAATACGGTACGTATTAAAAGCTGGAATATCATATTAACTTGGTCTTCACGGTTTTGTTTTTATTTTAGGAGTTTCTGATGATTCTGAGCCCAAAGAGTTGGTGCTGGATTATATTATTGAGAGGAAAAGAATGGATGATCTGAACAGTAGTATTATTGACGGCCGATTCCGAGAACAGAAAGTAAATGAGATTTGAAAAAAACTTGGGAATTGTTTGAGAATTGAATGTTTTTTTCTTTAAGATAATAAAGTAATAGTATGGCCAGAATGTCACGGATTGAACCTTGAAATAATAGTCATGTAGCAAATACTTCCAAGGCGGGACAATCAGTCTCCATTAAGAGAAAGTACAGCCATTTTCACTTTGCTATTTCTATCAAGTCACTTCCGTGGCTTTATTTTTCTTGTCGATCGCGGATGCGTAGAAATACTCTTCTACTAGCATGGACGTGGTTTGTAATATTAACCCTTTGGTCCTAGTCCCCCAACCCCCAACCCCTTCCCTGATTGACTAACTGACAGCTGTCTCCTCAAAGGATGCTAGATCACCTCGTTATTTTTTTAACCGACAACTCAATAACTCATACTCATTATCCTTTGTTTATTTATTTATTTATTTATTTATTTATATAAATGTTAATTTTATTTGTGTAATTTCAGTTTCGACTTCGTAATTGTGGCCTTCGACACCCTATATACCTAGTAGAGGACTTCGGTTCAGCTCAACATCTTAGTCTTCCAGAAGCAACGCTTAAGCAAGCTATTGTCAACACACAGGTGTGTCTTATAATATTACCTTTCATGGGTGGATGTTCAAGTTAGTCGCAGTAGATCCCATTGATCAATGATGTTCCATAAATTATTATCTTATTTATAGTGTCCCTGTAATGTAATCCTTTCTCAAAATAAGTCATGCAAAATATGATAACTTTGCTTCATGTTATTTTCTACAAGTATTTTGTTCTTTTGCCCATGGAAACGATGGTTAAACACTGTATAGCCTTCGGTTGTATCAATCAAAGTTCAAGAACCAGGACAGAACCGGTTGTAATTTACCCCATGTCCTTCCATGGTTTACCTGACGACGAGAGAAAAATATCTTTCCAGCCATTCTTTTTTATATTTGTCCTATCTTATTTGTCCGGCTGAAGTTTGCTTTCTATTATATTTTAGGTAACCGACGGTTTTTTTGTCAAAAGGACACACGACATCAAAGAATCAGTTGCCTATCTGACTCTAATGACTCGATTCATACATAATTTCTATTCGGTAATGTATCAGTTGTTACTTTGCATTATTACGATTATGATAGCTCACCCCTTCTACTCTCCCAACTCAACCCCACCCACCATTTCCCTTCTCCACACACCCCATTAAGATTTATAAATAAATAACTTTTCTTGATCACTTTAATTTTAAGGGAAAAACTTTAATTGCATGTCCAAGAGATGAAGTTCAAAAGTCAAGCGATGGTTCGCATTTGATTAACAGCAAGGCAACTAGTGCTCATCTCCTGACTTTCCAGGAGTTTAGTAAAGAAACTTCAAAGAATAAGGTCAGTAAAAATAACTATAAAGGGCGCCGTTTTTGCGCCAACAGTAATGTTGGTCGGTACATAAAGAGTTCAAACTACAGGGAGCTCAATTTAGATAAACTTAAAAGGTATAGATATAATCGAGAATAAATCAACTTTAAGGCCCCGTCCACACGTATTCGGAAATTTTATGTATCCGCAATTTTTTTTCGCGGATACGAAAATGTTCGGGTCCACACGCAGCGTATTCGAATCGTTTTCGAATCGTTTTCACTGTCCACACGTATCCGCAAATTTCTTGATCCGCCCTGATGCACACTAGTGCCTAGTCCCTTTGACGGATAGTTTTTCTTATTGAGCATGCGCAAAATCGTGTTTACGTCAGTGTATTCGAAAATTTGCGGATACGTGTGGACGGGGCCTAAAAGTAGAAAATACACTGCCACATTTTCAACCCGACCGTGCCTTTGTTCTCCCAAGAGACCATGGTTTTCCTAATTAATTTTCTGGTAATTTTATTGGTATATCTACAGTAATACCGTTATTGTATACTGTCACTCTTTCATTTTTCAGCGACATATTGTGATATCGAATGTATGAAATATATATTTTATATATATTGTCATATACATATATCAAATGTATTTTACAAAATGCCAAAAACTTAGAGTCAGTCTTTCATATTTCGGGTTTTATCCACAAGAAAACAAAAACCAAGAATCCGTAGTTTGCTGCACACCCTTCAAGTTAAAGTACATGTGAACCCTCTCGCTATCAACAGATCGTAAACACTACCCCTGCGTTAACAAATCAAATGCCTCAAAAGAATAGACAAACATTTTGAGTCCATTAGATATTAGATTTACATTCTCTTCCTAATCGTTTCAAGTTCAGGGATTTGGACCAATAGAATGAAATTTATTGCAGCAATTGATTGAAGGCATGTATCTAATATATGCTGTTGATTGTGTATGACTATACTTATGGCTATATGTATTTAAAGGTTGTCACAGTCAGTGAAATGTTTGGCAAACAGCTGATGCAAATAAGTGGAGTGTCGGCAGAAAAGGCTGCTGCTGTGCTTGGCAGTTATCCTACCCCTAAATGGTATGTACCAGTTGTGAAGTAGTTGGGAAGAATGACTGGCAAAAATGAAATAAACTTATCATATGGCACCAGGTCACTGCTAATCCATTGTTTTAAGAGTAAATCCAACAGTCCAAGAAAAAAGCTTATTACAAGGGATATAACAGTTATTTACTTCGATAACCGTTGTAACGCGACCCGCCGTTTCGAAACCATGTTTGGATTTTGGTCTTTTCTGAACCGCCAATCATCATTGGTTTATGTAAATGAGTCTACTAAGAAAGTGAAACTTTGGCAATTATTATAAACCTCGGCAATGAAGGGAGATTTTTGAACAGCATTACCCCACAAAAAAAAAAAAAAAAAAAGACTCAAGTCTTAGCACATATTTGTCGATTAAAATAAAATTCAAACTTTTATGTAAGCGTATTTCAAAAGCCGTCGAGATTCTAATCATCATTTAATTATAGATTCAGTAACCTTACGATCTTCACTAACTCTGCGCTTATTTACGATTAAACATAAGCGTATCAACGACTTTTAAAGAGAATTTTATTCGTCTTGTGCTTGACAATCAGTTTTGTTTAAAACTCGAGTGCAAAAAATGTACACCGCTTTTACTATAAGTCAAACTCATGCCATTTTTTATTTAAACTTTGTCAGAAGTTTCTTTTTTATGTACCCTTTTGATTCATCATGGGCTCAAATAATGGCGTCAACATTGTTGCGTGTGAGCGTGCGCAGTATCTTCATTTTTCTATGAGTAACCTTAACATTTTTTTATCCACTCCATACGGAAGCGTTGTCTGGACCCGGTACAGAATGAAATTACAAAATTCAGTAAGAGGAACGTTATGTTTATGTGGCCACCACCTCACCCCGTAATGAGTTCATCGCCACACCTTTAATGCATTCCTTATACTGACATTGAGATTTAGAAGATTGTTTTCTCTTATAAATTTCTTTCTCAAATTATCGAATAAAAAATGGCATGACTGACTATTGGTATCATAAGTTTGCTATTTCTATTGTCATCAGTACTAATCATCGTTGTTGTTCTAGTCTCTTGGAAGGTTATGACAGTCAACCGACAATAGAGCAAAAGGAAACGATGCTTTCTTGTTTAAAGTTTGGAAAACAACAAAGGTTTGTAATAACATGATTTGGATTCTAGGCTGCCACCTATTTATTTGCTAGTTAATAAAATACGTCTCTCGACTCATTCACACGTCTATTTTAATATTTTTTTTGTTCTAGAAATATTGGCCCGTCATTGAGTAAACTTATTTACCAGCTCTACTGTACTAGAAAAGCACTATCATAAGAACTGCTTGAGTCCGTAAAGGTACTGACTGTTATGGACATAAAGATCGATCCCAACCTTGTGTCTTCCGTCACGGCACACTTCTTAGGAAGTACAAATGAGCTGTAAACGTCCTTTGCTCACGCCTGTGAACAGTTACTTTTCTTCTAAGCGATGTTAAGGTTATTTTAAAACGCATCTAAAGCCTGAGACAACACTTTCAGTATCGATTCTATATGAAGTGAATATATATAGTTGAATGGTTGTGAAATTTCTTGATTTGAGTCTTCAAGTTATAAAGGTCTAAACGTTTGACTGTGACTTCATACTTGGCCTAATGGACTACTTGGACGGTACGGCGGTGGCCAACTTGCATCACAAGGAATAGGCCCTTTGCAGCTAAGCAGTCACGTGCTGATTAATTCACTGAGAGCAAATGAATGAACATTTTGATTCCCATGGGTGAAATTTCCTGGACTGCAAACAAACTTTCTACAACCTGTTTCGAGAGACCGTAATAAAACTGCATTTCGTAACACGCTGGATACACATGTTTTCATTCAGTTCTTTACAAGTAGCTAAAAAGAATCACCAATTTAATATAAAAACAAAAATTTTGCAGTCCAGTACAGACACGTGACCGTTAACTGCAAAGGGCCTATTATGGGGCGTCCAGTAGGACAAACAAAGCTTTGTTACAGTAATGACGTCGATTCATATTAACAGTTTCCAAATTAGTCGAGCAAGTCTTCATGAAATGCTAAAGAAACACTTTAGTATTTAGTATAAGTATTAGCAGTAGAAGTATAATTACGAACCCCCCCCAAACAAAAAACAAAAAAACAAAACAACAGAAAACAGTAGTAAGAATGCAAAGGCACTTGGGATAGCCCTGGATACAAGAGGAGTACAACGAAATCCCAAATTGTGCTCTGTAGAGTCCCTATTAAGTTGCTCGTTTTTTTGAGTATTATAAACAAAAAATCGCACAATCTTCTCGTACAATTTGGAATTTATAGATACTCGTGAAAAGGCTCGTCCAATTTTGAAAACTTTCAAAACATCACTCGTACCTAAAACTTCCAAATTGTACTCGAGATCGTGCGATTTCCTATACAAATCCCAAGAGAAAACAATGTGGTAATACATTTTATTTTCTCGTTTTAGTGAGCATGAGTAGATCATACTGGCGTTATTTTCATTTTTTTAATTTTATCCCACACGTAATATATAAAAAGCCAGGTGAAAATATGACCTTATGATCGCATTGGACTACTAATAACTTATTTAATCAACCCAGAGCTGGACCCACTTTTAACGATGCGTGCGCAACGAAGATGTAACTAGTAGCGGAAAGTCTTCTTTGTATTACGTGCACACGCGTTATTTCCTTTTATTTTTGAGATATAAATTAATCAGTTACTGAGAAAAGTGGGTCAGTTCTGGACTAGGATCTATTGATGTTCAATCCCGTTCTGGATTTGTTTATGGAAAAAAGTGGTCAACTTTTTTGAGTATATTTCTGTATGCACTTATTTCAATAAAGTTAGTCACCAAAAAACCTAGAAAGCTGAGATTACTGAGGATCTTGGGAATTTTTGAATATCAAACAAGTAAAGCTTTTGATACGATTTGCAGCTTTAGGATGCTCAGAAGAGGTGAGACTGTAACTGGTGAAAGATCTAAAATCCCTCAATAGTTATTAAAGCCGTTGAAACATGTAAAATATATCTACCCATAATCCTTGCAGGTCTCAGCTTTGTAGCTTTTCAGGTGACTAACTTTATTGAAATAAGTGTATATGTGGATGCTGAAACGTGTCGTACATCAAGTTTGAAATTAAGTCATAGTTAATGTGGCGGAATGGTTTGGGAAACTACTGTTTTAGGTTTTTGATGGACTTTATCTATTGATTGTATTTGCGGAAATATTTATCCGCTTAGTAACAAAATACTCGTACCTGGAAACAACAAGGCCATTATTTTCGGCTAGACTTGCCTTGGTTCATTGTGTACGTTCAGTGTCACGTGATTATTGTACGTTTCATCATCACTCGTCAAAAAAATAGTGCTTTTAAGTTGTGACTTATTTCCCGGTCCATTTGCTCACAAATACCATTGAAATAAACCAAAAGTTGTTTTCAATGATTTTGAAATTTCAAATTAAAATCTACAACTGAAGCGATTAAAAATTTGACAACATCCTGTCATGAAGAAAAGATAAGAAAAATCTTTATAAGAACTGCCGTCGTTTTGGACCCGGAATTTAGTCAAGGTTTTAAAAAAACTCTATAGCTTTGTTCTTGGGAGTTTCCAAACCATTTCGCTGTATTAATAATTATGATCTAATGAAATAAATAATTTAATATTTGAAAGCTTATTAAAGCAAAATTTATATCAAAGTGATAATTTTGTAAGTTGTGAAAGCTTATCGGGCAGAGGTGCTTGAAATAGCAATAAATACTTCTCTGAGCAACCATAGTAATGGAGCGGAATGGTTGGGAAACCTATTCTATGTTTTTGTTCGACTTTACCCATTGCCATATGACGTTGACGGGCGTGCACAGAGGAGTAAAATTTGCTCCGTTTGTTCATAGTATTTGGGAACCCTATATGATTAATACAAATTGTTTATTGAAAAGAAAATCGCCTTTACTTATCATCTAGTAACTTAACTGTGTCTGCGCGGAAATATTTATCCGCATAGTTCGTGGTCATCGAATAAAACTTTCAAACTTTTCACTTTCAAAATGTTCATACATGAAAATAAGAATGAAATGAGTATTTTTAGCCATACTTGCTTTGGTTCATTGTGCACGGTCAGTATCACGTTATGGTACGGTTCAACCTCAAACTCAAAACAATAGCCTTGTTATATGGAGTTTCCAAACCACTCCGCTCCATTAACTATGGAGCGACGAATAAATCTTATGTATGGTATGCTGCTAACATACTGATGGAGCTTGCGCATACCTCTGGGCCCGGTTGTACGAAGGGTTAATAACGCTATCCGATGGATAATTCCTTATCTAGTGAATAAGTCCATGTTGTTATCCAATAAATTTATCCACTGGATAAGATTTATCCGTTGGATAGCACTACTCACGCTTCGTACAACCGCATACCATGCATAGAATTGCTTACTATCTACCGCGTGACTTTTTGGAGTTGACTTGGGGCAATTATTATGCAACTAGCGACTGTCAAGTCAAAACATGTCAAAATAAGTCCTTTAACAGAAATGATTTTATCTGACTATTTCTACGTCCTGAAACTAGCAATCAATCTAATTATAATTTACGTATAATTTTTCCGTGGATTATTATCTATAATAGTAGCATATCAGGAAGAAAAAACATCTAGCTAGGAAAATCACCGGCCACTGACAATATAGATAATAAAGAGAGTTTTTAAAATTACATACATAAACGTATATCTATACAACAATAAAGAAAGTGTAGAGGCTTTGCACCATCACGTGATGGCAGCCATGACAGAAGGCACAACGATAGAGTCTTTATAACCTAGATACAAAATAAACACCATAACAAGAAGAGTACATCGAAATTAGTAAATTTAATATCTGGAGTTTTAAGATTTTGGATTTCATACCTGTCGTGTAGCAACCTCCCAAACATCTCAAAAATTACAAAGAAATGTATGGTTACTGGGTACGCTTGTCCCTAATAAACATACATTTCTTTGTCATTTTTGGTGTTTTTGATTGCTTATAATTTAGCTGTTACTTAGCCGATCGAAGGCAAACTGCAGAAACCTGTTAATTTTGATGTGCTCTCTCTTTCTCGTCATGGAAATAGTTTTTTAATAAGATTAATAGTCCCCTTCACAGTTCCCTGCACTTTATCTTGAAAGGTAGCCGTGCCTTTGCATCGAAGCGAGACGAACGGTGAACTTGCAATGATAGAGACCTTTTTTAACATCTTGAACAATTATTCACATGTCTCTATCATTGCAAGCTAACCGTTCGTCTCGCTTCGATGCAAAGGCACGGCTACCTTTCAAGATGGCGCAGGGAACTGTGAAGGGGACTATTATCAATACCTTCTACATACTCCTTCCCAGTCCTTCAATCGTTTTAAAGTGGCCAATAGCTGGTACGCTGCTATCTGGTCAAAACTTATAATATATCAGTCATAGCTTGAGATAAATAGGCGGTTTGAATTTTACTACCACTAACAATACGAACTTTCTTTCTTATTCTAATTATCTTCTCACAATAATATTAAAATAATAATAGTAAAATAATTGCTATTCATTAACTGAACAAAAGAAAGTTCGTAAATGACGTTACCATGAGATTGGATGCTAATGTACCGCTCGAAGATTGGGTAATGCATGCATGAGTGAACAGGATTTATTCAATTCAAAAAAGAAAAGTTAGGGATAATTCGAGAGCAATAGCGTTATTTTTTTTTTTCAGTATTAATTTTATAGTAATATTTGTAAAAATGCACTATTCTACTAAAAGGCCGTTTCCCAGTCCCCGTGCGACAAATAAATCGCCAATCCCCTCTTGCTTTAGTCTCTTACGCAGCCGCCATTAATGACACTAATAGGGCCTGCGAAGGAGAGACTTCTCTTGTTTCTGTCAAGAGATTGTCAAAATAAACGAGTGAGAATTTCATATGTGTTAGAAACAAAGCTTCGAGTTTGCTACTATATTCCTGACAGTAACTGCAGTAATGTATTTGCTAAGGTTAAAGTCTATTAGGCAAGATTTTACTTTTTAAGGTTAGGTTTTTGGCTTGGTTTATCGCGAATTTTTGGAGATTATCTTATGAGTTGTGGAATCTAATTCTTACAGACAAATTGTTTGTACCCATCGGTACATCTTAGTTTTTTCCACTTACCAGTGGATGCCTCCATTAAGATACAGCCTTTACCAGCTGCAAGCGACCCCTCAAACTTATTGAAGTCAAATTGTGTACCATCAGTCCATTTATAAGCGCCTTCTGTTTCGGTATCACTCAATCCGATCCAGAACTCCATTCCGATTAAACTGACTACCGCTTCGTTTTCGGATTCGCTATGTATTGAAACCAGATGCCCTCCCTTAGTCACACAACGGCTTTCTGCGTCTTTCCAAGGTAAATATTCGTTAATAACTAAGTAGCAATTGCCTTGCTTGGAGGTCCAACTACCAGTGCAAGCTGAAAAAAACAAAAACAAATGATTAATATCAGGAAATTTGTAGAAAGAAAACTGTTATTACAGACCTTTTTAATAAATCCAAATGATATATTTTCCGCGCTTGACATCAAATTTATTATTTTCAATTTCATTAAAAAATACTAAATAAATTAAAAAAATAAGAAATAATAATAATGACATCAAACGCGGAATAAAAGGCATTGCGGAATTTTTTTTAAACTGAGGTCTATAAATGAGTGTGAATGACGGAGTGAGTTCAGTAAACGTAGCATGTCAAACCAGTGATATCTGTAATATCAGCAAGCAATGTTAGTATAAACCAAAAGTAATGAATACAAGTAAGCTCATATAAAACAAGTTAAATGAAAACGGGACGTATATACTAAATTTATACTAACGATATCTTGATGTCAGAGAAAAAAGAGCCAGGGAAACTGCTGTGAACCCCTCTCATTAGAAGTAGTCAAGGGGCTGTGCAAACATTAGTAGGAGAGGGTTCAGAAGTGGGAGGGAACAAGAGAGAGAGAGAGAGAGAGGGGGGGGGGGGACGAATAAATTAACGGCGGAAGAAAGTAATGCACTAGCAGTGAATTGCTGAGCAGATGAAAAGCCAGTCAAATTCTAGGTAAGCAGCTTAGGTTGTAGTCTTGAGGCTTTCGYGTTCCATATAGATTATACATGAGGTTTTTTACGGTTTGAAGCACGATGTGTTGAATTAAAGAGGTTTGAAAGTTAGCTGAAGTAAGCAAGAATTATATTAACTGAAAGGGTAAGGTTTTTTGCTACAGAGCCCGAGAGTACCGCTAAAGAGGATTTCAACATAGCTTCTATTGCAGACGCTAGTAGTTCTAAGCCAGAGTCGTTTGATTCTAATCTAAAATAATAAAATGATTCATATGATTCTGGATATGTGGAGAACAAATACGAAGTATTGTTCAAGTCTTGTTCAAGTCTTGTTCAAGTCTCTTGATAGTAAAACTAAAGCAGAGTACCACTATGGAAAGAAATATTTATTTAGGTTTATGAAAGACATCTGTTCGCTGGCATCAGATTTTTCATGACTCATCGTCTTATCCCTGTGAATCATCTGAAATCCCACTGCGGAAACTCTACGCACGATGTCTCGAATACAGGTACAGTTTTGTATATTTCTTGAAAGCAATGCGTTCCAGGCGATTATATCTCACAACCCAAGGTTTCTGGGACGGATATCAATAATCTACCTTGCACCAAATAACCCTCTTTGAACCAGTTTGATATTCCACCTTCCAGCTAATTCATAAGCTTTTGCAACACCAACGACTCGTCAAAACAGTCCTGGATCACATTACCAAGACAGCATAATTTAATTACAAAAAAAACCCTGTATTATCTAATATTATGAATCATGATCGACTGCAACCAAGCAATAAACTTACTTTTTGGGGTAGGAGAGACTGTTAGAGCTGTAGTCGGTGACTGAGCTTTTGATTCTGGAGTGTTTGGTGCGGTTCCACTAGATGGCGTTGTTGTTGTTGTTGTTGTTGTTGTTGTTGTTGTTGTTGTTGTTGCTGTCGGTTTTAAAACACAGAAGATTAGTGCTTTGTTTTCTTCAGTGTCCAGCGAATCAGCCATAAGGCAATTTATGCAAAGGCCATTGTGGTGCCATTAACAATGGATGCTAATAAGAAGTCTGTTAAATGACACCAACGCTCCCTCGAGAGGTCGCGATGACGTAACGTGCAATCGAAGGATATCTGCATATTCTTTGTTTGCACGTTACGTCATCGCGGCCATGTTGGTACCATTTAACAAAAGATTTCTCATTAGCATCTATTGTTAATGGTAACAAAATGGCCGCCATGTTTTTGTCTTTTAACTCTCTTGGGAATGCTTGCAACCCATCAATAGCTAAAAAGTCAATCAAACCCCGTAGATCAAGAATGATTTCTGCGTACAAACAACAAATAGAATTCTTCGCTTTCTCTGAACTAACCATTTACCTGTGTTAGCCGTTTCAAACGGTTATCGTAAATAGCATGCATCTAAACATGTGTTACTGATTGTATTAACTATGATTACAAATAATCTGTGTTGCAGAAGCACAAGTATTTGTGAAGCATATACACGAGATATTCTCAGAGTTGTAGTGCCCTCTCTCCAGAAACGTATGACCAAAAATCGTAGAATGTACCTTTTATTACATATTTGAGTTGGATATCAGTGTGGTACAGCCGTGAATAACTGGATAGCTGTCATTTTACCGGTGTTTTACATGGTATATCTGCATTATACGCCACACTTTCCTAGACATGTCTGATTCCGCATTAGGCTCCGCCTCTCATAAAAAACTTGTACGTGATTGCTTGCATTTATAAAAAATATGTCACGAATATGTCAAAAATTCATAAAAAGTTTGTTCAAGTGACTACGGTATGGCGCGTCGCACAGTAAAACCATAATTAAATGGAGCGGAATGGTTTGGAAACTTTATAGAACAAAGCTATTGCTTTGCGTTTGAGGTTGAACTGTACCATCAAGTGATACTGACCGTGCACAACGAACCAATCATTTCCTTATTATTTTCATGTATGAACATTTTGAAAATGAAATCTTTCATTCGATGACCACGAGCCATGCGGATAAATATTTCCCGCGCAGATACAGTTACTAGATGATAAGTAAAAAAGCATGAAAAGAGTGGATTTCATTTTCAATAAACAATTAATCTTAATCAAATATGATCAATTAACAAATAATAACTATCTTTAGACGTTTTATTTAAGGAAAGAAACTCCTATATTCCCGAATACTATGAAAAAAACGGAGCATCCATTTTCCTTTTCTGTGCACGGTCAACGTCATATAACAATGGATAAAGTTGAACAAAAACATAAAACAATAGGTTTCCCAACCATCCCGCTCCATTAACTATGGTTAAACGTTAGAATTCAACTGATAAACTTACATGTTGATTCAGAGACTTCTGGGGCGGTAGTTGATGACTGAGTGGTTAATTCTGGAGTATTTGATGCTGTTCCGCTGGTTGGCGGTATTGCTGTTGTTGCTGCTGTTCCACTGGTTGGCGGTATTGCTGTTGTTGCTGCTGTTGTTACCGGTGTTCCACTGGTTTGCGGTATTGCTGTTGTTGTTGCTGCTGCTGTTGTTGTTGTTGCTGCTGTTGTTGTTGTTGCTAATGCTGTCGTTGCTGCTGTTGTTGTTGTTGCTGTCACGGTTTAAATTACAGGAAGTTTAGTGCTTTTATTCACCAGCAAAAATATATAAATGGGATGAGCGAGCAAATGCAGTTATCGATAAGTCAATGAATAAAAGAACGAGTGATGATGGTGATGATGGTGATGATCATAATGATGAGGAGGATGATAATAGTAACTTTATTTAATAACAGTAAAATTATCTTCAAATGTAAAAGTTTTGAAACATTTAGAATAATGAAGCTTAATTATGTAGATGTAAAGCATCTTTTTAGCAACTAAATGGGCACCCAACAATAGGTGCGCTTGAAAAGCCCAAGCAAGCTATTACTTTTCTTTAGAAATGATGTCAAATTGACTATTTTATGGTCGTACGACAATACACTTCAAAGCTAAGGTCAAAATATTAGTCTATAGTCGTATTTTGATCATTTCACACATGAGTGGATTACTCCCCATTCCTTTATAGCTCAGTAGGATGTCAGGAAAGCACGGGTTGTGTAGCGGTTAGAGCGGTCGCCTCTCACTAAGGCGAGCGGCCGGCTCGATTTGCTAGGACTCGTCATATGAAAGTAAAGTTTTCTATTTTGTTTAACGTTCTCTTCTGTGCTTTGAGAGTTTTTCTTCGGGTTTTCCGTAGTGCGATTTGGGCGATTTCTATGTTTCCTGGTAGTTGTTGGATATTCCTATCTTGACACCGATTTATGAGGCCTAGTACCCAAATAATAGATTCAAGAAATGAAGCTTAGCCATTTTAGCTTTTATGAACTTTATTATATATATACATATAGAAAATTTTGTTATATTATTTAGAGTTTTTGATGTAATGTTTCAAAACCGACAATGAGGACTGGGCGGGATTTCAAGTCCAAGCAATTAGTTCCAGTCCGAGGCGCACTCGAGGACTGGAACTAATTGCGCGGACTTGAAATCTTGTCAGTCCGATATTGGAGGCTTTGAAATAACTTTGAAATGCAGGTCTATAATAAAGTGTACCGGCTCATGCAGTATACATGCAGTTACTGACCTTGGTCGCAGTTGGGCCCAGTGAATCCTGCATTCCTGCACTGACATTGAAATGTGTTATCAGCAAAATTTACTCGACATACTTGTGGATCGACGCATTTGCAGTTGTTCTAAATAAACGACATAAAAAATCATTTAGTAACATCCATTGTTCTATTGATATCAATTGACATCTTTACAGTAAGGGAGCTTTTTATCTAATATCAGACCGTATGGGGAGACATGAAACCTTATGTTATGGCAACTAAATTTGGATAGCCTTTCTAAAGTAAAGGCCGTAGGGTCTCATTACAAATCACTATTGTCTGTATATTAGAAACTATACCTCAGCACTGCGATAAATCGAATTGGGTCGATCTATAAGGTCACCAGAGTGTGCTACGTGATCAGATTCACTGAGCTCACACGTCGGGTCAACAAAGTTGTATGAAATGCAGCGATCATCCAAATAGCATTTTATCCTGCATAGACGCTCGTTACCGACGTCTTCAGACTTGAAAACATGATTAATCAGCGCTTTTCCCTTCAAAGTGTTCATGAAGTTCATCGTCTTGCATGGGCTATCCTGACCTATAACGGTAAGAGAAATCAGCACGGCACGGCACTCGTCCAAACGTGTCCATTCCGGTTCACTTTTTCAAATCGTTTTCGTTCGTCCACACGACATAGCAAATTGCCCATTCCAGACCAAGTGAAATTCCCCTGAGAATTGTTCTTTTATGATGAACATTTAAGCAATGGTCAATGCTTAGCGTGCGTAAATCTACTGATGGTGCACGCGGATAGTTGGGAGAGCACGATGGTAGCGTAAGAGTTGCACGAGGTGGAGCCGAATGTACAGTCTTTTTAGTCTTTTTAGTTTTATTTGAATGCTTGCAATTTTCACCAAATTTTCAACTTGACGTCACCAGCGTGCTCCATACGAGTGCTCCATACATTTTTTCTTCATAGGTGGTGAACCAATCAGAGCGCGCGTTATATCTTAGTTATGTTATTAAAAATATCTACATATGAAAGAATCACCTCAAGAGTGGCATCACATGGTCTGAAAGTGGACAACAAACAACGAAGTTAAAGAGTTCTATTTCGACACATTTGAAAAAATTCCGTTTTCAAAAATATCCGGATATCTGGGAAGCACCGGTGGCGTGCGCTGCTAATGCGTCGCCTCTCACCAATGCGGCCCGAGTTCGAGTCCTGCCGATCTCGATGTCGTATGTGAGTAGAGTTGTTTGTTGGTTCTCTCCTGTGCTTCGAGGGTTTTTCTCCCTCCTCAAAAATCAAATTCGATCTCTGGGATTTCACTTAATTTGCAGCCTAGCTCTGTTGTGATTGTCCAACGCTGTGATACAACAGCGAAAAGCTTTGTAGATTTTTTTTAAATAGATTTTTTAGATCTGCGGACGGGGAATAGTAAACTTATGAAGATCAACTAATTCAAATATTCTCCTTTAATTTCATATGCATTGAAGGGTTTTAAGGCAGTCAAATAAAAATAAGTACGTTCATAACTACTTTCGCTCACGGCTGCTTGTTGATTATTCACGCTTGACTTCCGTGTTATTCCTTGTCGTGTACTGTTAGTATCGAGCGTACTTATTTTTATTTGACTGCCTTAAAACCCTTCAATGCATATGAAATTAAAGGAAAATATTTGTAAAAGATACATCTTTTAGTGACTTCATTTAGAAAAACATCGTTCGACGATTTTTTGAAT